CTTTGCCATTACATACAAAACTGAACTATTTTAATATAGCTGAAACAGTAGTATAAGCTGTTTTGGGAGAAGGGGGCGGGGAAAGACGGGCTCGGGCCGGTAATTCTGATAAGCTGTCGGACACGGCCGGGCTCTGAAGCCGCCTTTCCACTGCACACGACATTCGGACACGACTGTCGGAATTCGCCCCCTAGTGGCAGTCGCACGGAAATTTCATTATGATCGTACACGGCAACATGGGAGAGAAGCTTATCCTCGCGGTCTCAGAAAACCCCATTCTGTATGATACTTCTCATACAGAGAACAGAGACTTTAATAGGAAAAATGAGGCTTGGAAGAGAGTTAGCGAGATTGTCGGTTTGTGTTTTGTTTGAAATTTTCTGAATGTATGCAAATCCTTGTCGTGCCTTAATTAGCATCTAGCCTAGTATTCCCATGTATTTCCATGCAGTTATTATTCCGCATTTTACAAATTTATTGAGAAAAAAAATGTATGCAATTGTATATTATTTATTTGAAAGAATGAAAAGAGCAGTTTTATGTCTATCCTTGTATTGTTCAACTGGTGGAGGTTGATGTGGGATTTAAGAAGTAATTAGTAATGCAATACATTTTAGTGAGAGTAATTAATACAGTAATCTAATTACACTGTTTTTAGAGTAACTTACCCAACACTGAAATGACATATCAAATAGTATGTCTAAGTTAGCATGATTTACATATCATAAATAAATAAAGACAACATTAAAAATAATAAAATATAAAATTAAATGAATAATTTATTATTCACCAATAATCATGCATTTTTTTTTAAGTTTTAAAACAAAATAAAATGTGATAAACAAATCATCGGTGATGGACGATGGCATCGTCTATCAGCCCAACCCTATTGTGCATAACAATGCGATTAATCGCGATTTAAAATTTGTTATCGTTGCCCATCACTTATAAAACTTATACTTATCTATAATATCTATAATATCTCTCTCTCTCTCTCTCTCTCTCTCTCTATATA